CCCTAGCTATTACCGCCACCTTCCCTATTCATTCCTTATTGTTCTTCATCGGGTCTAGAGCTTTCTAGGTTTGATTCTTCAACAATAGCAACGTTCATCAATCCACCACCGCTTCCCTATCAGTTCGACTACGCTCAGCTCCAAGGCACATCATTTGCAGCATAGCTTAAGTCGAGAAGAGCTATCTGCCAAAGAGCCCCGAGTTCGATTACACTCAGCTTCGAGGGCACATCATTTACAGCATAACTCAAGGCTAAAAGGGTTATCTGTGAGCAAAAGACCTTCGAGTTCGACTATGTTCAGCTCCAAGGCACATCATTTGCAGTATAGCTTAAGTTGAGAAGGGCTATCTGCCAAAGACCCTCGAGTTCGATTACACTCAGCTTCGAGGGCACATCATTTACAACATAACTCAAAGCTAGAAGGGTTATCTGTGACCAAAAGACCTTCGAGTTCGACTACGCTCAACTCCAAGGCATATCATTTGCAGTATAACTTAAGTCGAGAAGGGTTATCTGCCAAACAAAGACCTTCAAGTTCGATTACATTCAACTCAGAGATAGATCAAGTTTACAGCATAGCTCGAGGTAAGAAGGGCTATCTGTCAATAAAATTGTTGAGTTTGATTCCATTCAGCTCGATGATACCTCAGTCACACTATTGTTCGGTTGTAGCCGAGGTTTTCAAGTCAAGAAAAAGACCTAGGTGGACTGCAATTTGAAGTAATATTCTGATTCCGAACTTTGACTTCAATTCCATATCATTTCAAGGTGGACTCGACTTTGCGACGGATGAGCCATCTGCAACTCAATTCGATAGGGAGTTATTTTTCAACTCCACCGAACGAAAATTTGTGTCTTTTTATCTTTGTCCTATTTTTCGTTCCACGAAAAAGGAGAAAGAGGAGCAGCTGTAGACACTCATTTTCGTCCCATTGTTTATTATATATATATATATATATATATACATTATATAGTTTGAAAACCTTTTTAAAATATATATATATATATATATATATAATATAGTTTTGACAAGCATGTTTTAAAAACATTTATATATTATATAGTTTTTAAAACATTTTGAAAACTAATATAATATATAGTTTTTAAAATATTTTTTGAATATATATATATATATATATATATATATAGTTTTTAAAACATTGTGAAAACTAATATATTATATAGTTTTTAAAACATTTTGAAAACTAATGTAATATATAGTTTTTAAAACATTTTTTGAAAATATATATGTTATATACTTTTTAAAACATTTTGAAAATAAATATAATATATAATTTTTAAAAATATTTTTGAAAATATATATTATATAGTTTTTAAAACATTTTGGAAATATATATAATATTATATAGTTTTTGAAATATCTTTTTGGAAAATGCTTATAATATATAGTTTTTAAAATAACATTTTAGAAATTAATATATTATATATTTTCGAAATTGTTTTTTTTATTTATTTATTTATTTATTTATTGTTATTTATTATTATTTTGTTTTTTTGTTTAGGGTCCAAAAGGAGGTCTGAATAGTCCAAGAGCTGGGCTTGAACTAGCCCAATAGCATTTAGGGTTTCTCACTCAGTCCCAACGTCGCACAGCTTACAGCCGTTAGATCAAGCAGTGATCAACGGCTCAAAATCGCGTGATAACTAGGGTTCTGAAGCCCCAAATATCTCATCAAATGCGCAGCCAGATCCAGACCATTGGATCTAACCCAATCTAACGGTCGAGATCAAAGGTCCCAGAAGATTTGAAGTCACCAGTTAGCCGAGGATTTTGGCGACGTGCAGCACCAGAATCGGAGCTACTCGGACTGAACCATCCGAGATCACCGAGGACAACCCCGCAATATCCGGGATCAACTCCAACCGCAACCGGAAATGGCCCCCAACGGGGCCTATAAATATCAAACCATCAACGGAGAAAAGAAGAACGATCACAATACCACATCAAACCACCACACAAACCCACAACAAACAAAAAAAAAACCATCAACAACACGCGAAACATCATCCCAACCAAAGAACCATCAATACGATACAAAAAAGAAAACACAGTAAACACAAGAGGCCAACGAGACCCCCTCAGACACAAATAAGGCAGCCACATAAACACAAAAGAAACCAAAGACAAGCATCTGAACCGAGGAAGCCACCTGAGAAGCGAGAGGTCACCGGAAAAGGTAAAACCCGAAAGGGTTATCGTTAGATCTACGTCGATTAAAGGGGGTTTTTTGGATTCGGGTTGTAGGGTTGTGTTATTGGTGGCAAGGGCTTTCGAGGGGTAGATTTGGTTGTTATCCGACCACCGTGGGTGATGGCCGACGGTAGAGTCAGTGGTGGTCGGGAATCGCCTGGAGAGAGGCGAGAAGAGAGGTTTTTTCTCTCATTTTAAGAGAGAGAAAGCAAAGTGATTTAAATGAGAGAATAACCATTTTTGGCTAAAGGAAAAACACATATATAAGCTTGGCAAAACTACGTAGTTTCGATGGGGGTGGCTCGCAATTTTAGTTAGGGATTTATCGCAGCACGAGTCCCTCGTCCTTTGTAATATTGCTTCATAGCCATGGATTGAACTTTTAATTTATTTAATTTTGAGCATCAAAGTTTCAATTCTATTATTTTAGTATGACTTTTATTTGCTTTGTTATTTTCGTTAGAATTTGACTTTGGATATTACATTTGCTAGTACTTCATTTTAGTCACTGTCTCGTTTTGGTTTAATTATCATTTAGTCCCCATTATTTTATTATTTTTAAACCTTTTAATTCATTTATGTTTTTCCTAGTTTTTTCTATTTTAACATTTTTCTATTTTTTTATTGTTTTTTGTTTTATTTCACATTTATTTATTTATTTATTCTACTTTATTTTTTATCTTATTTCCCTTAAATTTATTTTATATTTTTTTCTTTATTTATTTTATATTTTTTATTCATTTTTTCTTTGATTTATATTTTTTCCTCCCTCTTTTGATTTGTTATTTTGGTTAGTATTTTTTTATGTTTTTATTTACTTATTTTTATCTAACCTTTTTGATTTTTCTTTTAGAAGAACTCCAACCAATCAAAGGTAAGCAATTCGAATCGAATTTTTAAATTTTAATTTAATTTCCTAATTTTCGCAATTAAAGACAATCGACAAATTAATTGGTACCAAAAGAGCGGTTCAAGGGTGCCAATCCTTCTTTGGCCGTAACCGACTCCCGAACCCTACACATTTCTGGTACAACGCAGATCAGGTAAGATGGTGTCCGACCCACCTAATTTCATTTTAAAGTGGTCGGTGGCGACTCCTAAGCATTTAATCCAAGTCGAAGCCCAATTCTGGACCCAACCGAAAGACGGTTTCGACAATATGCATTAGTGAAGAGACTTGTGTGTAAATGATATGGAAACAATAATTGATGTGAAATTTTCTAATTGGTTGGGATCAATGATGAAGTGTCGGAGAGGGTCTATGAAATAATTTTTCGTTTTGGGGTGTTATGTAATCGATTCATGGACTCATTTTCTGGTTAATCAAACCAAAAATTGTTACTTTAATATTTCTTAAAAAACAAATTTTATTTAAAAAGGAATCTTTTTGGGTGATCCAATTACACACTAAACAAAAATCGATTGACTTCTCAAAGTACATTTTTATATTTTAAAAAAAAACTCTAAATTAATCAAGACGAACTCTAAAAGTTTTTAATTTTTGAAAGATCATTTCGACAGTGACTAAAATAAAAGAATACAAGAGAAATCCTTGTACAGCTTGACTTCTAGTCCTAATTTTGTTTTTACGTATAGTCAACATAGAAGAAAATAATTTTTATTTTTCTCATTTTTCTTAATTTTATACTTGTATCAATTTAAATTAAATTAAATTCTAATCAAACTCTAACTATTAAATTTCAAATTTAAAAATCACTTTAACTTCAAACCTTCCTCTCCGAGAAGCTCTACTAGAACTCTAAACGAGCCAAATTGACTTCAAATATTGATAAACAACTCGACTATAAAACTTTAAAATTAAATTCATCTTGACTCGAAAACTCGCAAGCCTAAAATTATCAAACATGACTCGAACTTGAAATAAATAATTGAGGCTTGACACAAAAGCTTGCGAACTTAAAATTTTTAAGCTCTACTCGAAATAAAAATTTAAAGCTCGACTCAAACTCGAACCTAAACCTTAAGTACATGTAATTTTTATATTGTATTTTAATATATATATATATATATATAACATATAAATATTAATATTATTAATTTAATTTAATTTAATTTTAAAAAATCTAAAATTTTAGTAAATTATTTTTTGAGTTACTCGATAACTTTCCGGATCAAATATCAAATAACTCGTTTCGACTTATTAAAAATCGAATAAAGTTAAAGTTCGAATTCATTTAATTTAAATACTCACTAAATCAATTTTTAATAACACATATTTCATCTATAGACCAATTATATCCTTTTTCAAGGTAATTATGCTGTTTGACAGCCTAATATAAGGCTAAGAAAAGATATAACCGAAAATGTTAATATTTTTTAACATTTACGGTAGAACGCTACATAAAATGTTAATTTTGTTAACTAATATGTTAATCTTTTAACGTTTCCGGTTACAATCGAAAATGTTACTTTATCCATAACATTTTTAGTTACAACCGAAAACATTAAAAAGATTAATATTTTAAATGACAAAATTAATATTTTAAGTAAAACTCTACTAAAATATAAAAACAAAATTAATTTTCGATTACACGTTTACTCATCCCTATATTAAACTGTCTCCTTAGACATCTTTTTCCAGGCCCGCCCTTAAGCTACCATCTCCCCTGAACCCCAACAGAAAAGATATTTTGACGCTTATGTATCGGATTCGGAAAAGATCGTAAGAATAGAATATATTCGACCCGAAACCGGCCCATCGTACACATGCTTGGTCGCACGTGCGAGCTGTCAGCCTACCTTCGTGTCTAATCAATCCATCCATCTACCAGACATTGTTCGACCTATTCAAACAATATATTAAAAAACCGATTACATTGTCGGCCGGCGAATTAATAGGCCGATCACCTTCCGATCTGATCGATGACCTTTTCAGACGAAGAAGATGAGTTGTTGGCGAACTTTCTCGAATCTGAACTATCCGATGAGGTTCTCTTCCCTACCCTCTTTCTTTTCTTTACCGATAATAATTTTATGCTTCTATCATGAAATTGACTTGTTTCCGATTTTAGGAGGAGCCAGAAGCCAAGCGATTGCGCGTTGTTAACGGAGATGAGGAAGAGGAAAAAGAACGCGAAGGTGATGGGGCTTCTTCTTCAAATATGAATCCGAACCCTGGCCAAGTGAAGAACACCAATAATAGGAGTGTTCCTAGGGGGATTGAGAGTGGTACTTTCAGCAAAATTCCACCCGAGTTGTTTACTCATATCCTCAAATTTCTCTCATCCGAGGTCCTTTTTCTGTCATGTGTGGCTCTCTCTTTTCCCCTATAAAAAGTATCAGTTTTTCATGTTGTGTTTGTTATGTATGAATTTACAGGATCTTGTATCGTGCTCGCTGGTGTGCAGTTTTCTGAATTTTGCGGCATCTGATGAATCCTTATGGCGTCGCCTGTGAGTGTTTTATTGCATTTGATTTCTGATATTCAAACTTCCAAGTCTCTTCCTTTCTGCCTTTTAGATTTTAAAGTTTGTTGATTGTTGCTACTCCTTGGCCAAGTTAAGTTATCTATTAATGCATAATTAAAGTCTTCCTCTGTAAGATAAATGGAATTTTAGTGATTGAAGGTTCATTTTATCTTCCTTTTAGTGTCTAAGTGATGTCTAGGTTACGAATTCATTGGTTTGCTTTAGTTAATTTTGCAGATATATATTAATTGTTGTTGTTGTGAAGGTCTAAAGTTGTGCTTTTACCACACTTAAGCTTATCTATATGTATTCGTAATCAATCCCCACCCTTTTAGTTGGTAAATCCTTGCTTTGCTACTTGAAATTAAAAGTTTTCAACTTGTGCAGGTATTGTATGCGATGGGGTTTGTTGCCTCCAACAAAAATGCGGGAATGTCCTTGGAAGAAGCTTTATATTCAGGTACATTTGGTTTATGTTTCTCAATTGAAGATTCTTTTATATTTTAAATTTTCATTCTTTCAACACCTCGCATATCTTTCTTGTGTAAAGGATCTTTATGATCAGTTAGTTGGCATACAGCCTCCCTTGCATACTTATTTTACCTTTGCTCATGACTAGTAAAATAATATGCCACTGTTTGAATTTGTTTCGTTAAAGGCATAATATGCATGTGTGGCAGCTATATGTATCGTATTAGAATATGATTATATGAATAGAAAAATTGGTGTCTTATTTCTGGTATCAGCATTTAGCATAATGTTATTTATTGAGGTTTTCTGTGTACTTCTTGTGGTTATGTCAGCTGGTCTGCATGCTTCTGCTTTTCCCTATAACGTTATCAACTTTATGGTAAAACATATTTTTCCTTCACAGCGTGATGAAGAGGACATGAGTGAACTTGTTAGGAACTGTACATCTGAATTTAAAGAGTACTACATTCAAATGCAAGCAGCTAAAAGAAGCCAAGCACCTCTTCCTTCTCAGGTAACGAGGTTTTACTTATTTTTGATCCTTTAAAAGAGGAAAAGATGTTTTAGTTGCTATTCAGTGATGATATGGTAGAGATAGCTTGTCATGGAATCCTAATGTTCACAAAAATGTGTTTTGAGTGATGAATATTCCATTTATTTCCATTTCTGTCAAAAGCTATACTGACATGCATGGTAGCAGGAAATTTTCATTTTGAATGCAATTACTTGCTTGAATAGAAACATGTTTTTTGTATCCTGTTTCCTTGACATACTGAAAGATCAAGTATTGATTCAGTCTCTAGAGGCATGCATGAAGATGTTCAATTAACTTTTCCACTCATGAACCGGAACTGAAATGTGCTCTTTTGGCTGTTTTCTTCTTTCTCTCTCTTTCTCTGTGTGTGTGTGTTTGCATGTGCATGTGAAGGTGAAGGATGACTCAATAATTCTTGACAAGACTGTTGCTGATCAAGTATCTCTGTGGAAAAGTAGTCGGGGCCTGGCTGATAAGGTGGTCACTGACCATGCTTGTTCAGGAGAAACATGTACCTACTACCAAATTGGGGATGTATTTGTTTGTGAGAAGACTGGGCAGGTTCATGGTAAGAAACGTTTTCATCTGCTTCCAAATTATCATAGGTTATGGATTTATGTTTTTTCATTTATGTTCTTTCTTGTCTCAGTATGTGATGATACATGCCGAGAAGTCATTTTGGATCCCAACAATGAGCTTTTGGTCTGCACAATTTCAGGCCACTGTTTTGATAGGTTACTGTCTCCATCCGAAATGGAATTGGACAGTGTGAGTAGAAATTCACTTAACTATTTGTTTTTCTTGCAACATTAAAATTCTTAAGCTATTTATTAATCCATATTCCAACACTTTTGCGTGCCATGTCAAAAAACTTGCAGGAACAGCAGCAAGCTGGTGGGACCGATGAAGCGGAACCATTTATGGGATCTGGCCGCTTTGGTAATAAATCATTCGTTTAATCCCTGATTTTGATTGCATCTGCATGTATCTCATTTTTGTTTTATGTTGCCGCGGCAGCAAGAGCTTACTTATTGGGATACAATTGCGAGGATGAAAAAGAGCTGGAAGCTGCTTTGAGGTTTTGTTGATCCAAATCTTTGTTTACTTTTCTTTTAGGTGGGTTTTAGTAAATGTCTCAGTTTGACTTGATATTGTGGATGTTTTAAGTTGTACAAGATAGATAACTAGGTGATAATGTATTTCCTTAATATTATGTTAAAATCCAGAGTCCTAGGCTCGATCGTTTATTGCCATGGCACATGAAAACATGGATGATGATGATGGAGAGATAGAAACGCAATTACTGGCTTTTGGCAGAGCCTTAAAACAATAGTTAACGATTAGTAGTCCCTGGAAAATTTGCAATCCACTGAAGGATGCTATTGTTGAAAAGCAACAACAGGGCTTCAAAGGTTCCGTTGAACTTGAAAATTAACCCATCCCAAATAGTATGAACCATTGGGCATTGATTATGATTCTCGAGGGAGTGCTATTCAGACGACCTTTAGGCGAGTTGATATTCTGAGTATCGAAACAATGACCTTACTGTAATATCCATGATGATCTGATCCTATTACAAAAACATCGATTTATTGTTTTGTTCTTTTGTATATTTGAACAAATGCCTTTTGGTTCTCTACGACTAAGAGTGAGTGAACAGTTTTAAGCATAAGAATTACAAGTTCTGCTTGTAGGAAATGCTCTTCCAAACCACCAAAAGCTCTTTGCTGAAACTTCTCGACGATTCTAATTAACTATGTTTCATTGAGACAATAAAGTGTAACCATTACATTCTGCCTATTCATATCAACGATAAAGCCACGTAGCAGACCAAAAAAGTACAATCAGCAGCGTATAAGTGGCATATTCATTGACCACTACGTTGAGGATCTAAGTGATAAAAGAAACTAGGCCAAATAGGGCTAAAGTGTCAAAAGAGAAAAATATCAGGACTAAATTATATGTGAAAAATAAAATCATATTATTGAATTTAATCAAATCAGTGATTATTTGAGCATATTCAAAAATGTTAATCTCTTATATGAGTATATTTGAGAACGTTAGATCTCTTTTTCGATCAAATCACATATAATTTCCACCATTTTAATAGGAAAAAAAAACACTAACTTTGCTAGTGAGAATGGGTCAGAATTGAAAAATACCTAATACTAATATTTTTCACCAATGATCTTTTTCGCTTGGGGGAATTGCTCCAACTAGACATGAAATAGGATTTCAAAAAATATTATTACTTTAAAAACGAACTTTTCTACCAGTCAAACAGCTCTAGAGGGTATGTGTTGTTATTTTAGCGTACCAAATAATTCCTTTAGCAACTTGAGCCCTTAAAACGAGTTAAATACAAATTCTAATTTATCAAAGCTTTAGAGCTACATAACTTGGTTGATTGCCAAAGGCCAAAGGCCAAAGGCCAAATGCAAATAAAAAGGGTTAACTACATGGATTGTCACCTATGTTTGTCTTTTGTCCACTTTTGGTCACCGATTTCAAAAAACATAAGATATGGTCACTTTCGTTTTTATTTAATTAAGGTGTGATCACTTTCGTTTTTATTTAATTAATATGTGGTCACCCCGAGATAAGTTTCGTTAACAACAGTTAAATATTTTGATATAATCATATATTTGGTCCATGTTATTTACACATTCTCTGAATTTAGTCATACTTTTAATAAGTTTAAAAAATATAATCCCCCAATCGAATGATGCCACATGTCATGTCAACTATGGGTGTTCAAAATACCCGACCCGTTTACTCGCCGACCCAGTTAAAAAATACCGTGTATTTATAATAAATATATATGATTTTTCGGTTCGGGTACCCAACTAGCTATTTTTTCGATTTTCTAGGTCAGACCTGGGTCACAAAATGTTGGTTAACCGGGTACCCGTCGACCCAGTACCCAATTTATTATATTTTTTATTTTTTTCATTTTTCATTTTATATTAAATTTTCATTCATAATTCTCAAATTATTTCACTATAACATTCTAAAATCCTATTTTCTTAAATTTTTGACATCATAAAGTTCTAAATTCTTAATTTCTTAAATTATTTCACATTAATGTTCTAAATTATTTTTTAAAATATTTATTTTAACTTCAAAACATTTGAAATTTAATTATATTTCTTTATTTTAATATTTAATAAATTTTATTTTCAATTATTTAATTTAAATTTTTAAATTTTATGTGTGAAATATATATATTATAGACTTTTAAATTTTAAGTTTTAGAATTTTCTATATAATTTTTAAAAAAATAATATAATTTAAATAAAAGAATTATGAACGGTTACCTGTGATGTAACATCCCAAACTATGGTGTTAGGATTTTCGGAAGCTCGAATCGATAACCAGAACGGTTTGTAAAGAGGGGTCGGAACGGTTTTGTGTTTAGGGAGTAAGGAGATTGAAAAATAGAGAATTGCACAGCGATTTATAGTGGTTCGACTTTCTCAATCAAAGTCTACGTCCACTACCTTAGCTCCTCACCAAGGATTTTCCAACAAATTCACTAATTTGTTCTTTCTTTTGAGGATAAAGAGTAACCTTACAAACTCCCTAGTTTTTCCGGGCTAAACTAGAACCTTTCCCTAGCTTTTACACGGGCTAAGCTAGAACCTTTCCCCTTTACAAAAGGATAAGAAATGTAAACAAGAAAACCTCTCTAAGGTAGGTGTTTACAAGATTGAGCTCACAAGAACAAAATATATACAAGAGAAAGATGAAATAAGAATGAAAAATTCTTCTCTTGTGTTTGATTGCTTGGATAGTTGTTCTATTACTTCTTCAAGTGTCCTTAGCTTGTATTTATAGCTTGGAATGTGTTTGAAGTCATATCTAGCCGTTGGGGATGTTTTGGAGCCGTTTGGGAATGATTTTTCTGCAAAAATAGGCTGCCCAGAATGGGGGGAATCGGTACCCCTTCTTAGGGAATCAATACCCCTTCATAATATTCAAATATTATGACATTTGGGCTGATGAACAATGAGGGAATCGTACCCTCAAGGGGGAATCGATTCCCTCCGAGTAATCTGTTATTTCTCGGAGCCAAACCATGCAGGGGGGGAATCTGTACCCGGGGAATCGATACCCCTGGGGGGAATCTGTTCCCGGGGAATCGATACCCCCTGGGGGGGAATCTGTTCCCCCTGGGGGGGAATCTGTACCCCCTGGACAATCTGATTTTTCTTGAAACCCTTTAAAAAGAAAATATTTTTGGCTCGATTAAGGCTCGAAATACTTTGTAAATTTGTTTTAAAATAGTTTAAGTATAAAACACAATTTTACACTTTAGTAAGGATTAAAATGAACTTTGAAAGACTTGGAGTAATATTTTGATATTCGAATAATTACATCGAATATACTTAGAAAATCTTTTGTAAAATCTTAAAATTCATTTAACTTAATTTGTTATATCGAAACATCAAAATGTTTTCAACAATCTCCCCCTTTTGATATAACAAAACATTTGAGTAATTTTAAGATTTTGAAATCAAGTTTGAAATTACTCCCCTTTACTTTAACACCTTCACACTTCTCCCCCTTTTTGTTAAATCAAAAAGACTCTAATATTTGAAGTTCAAAATAACTTTGGAGAGTAAGTAGTAAATTTGAAATTTTAAAAATCATTTGAAAAAAATCAAATCTCCCCCTCGATAAATGCATTCCAAATAAAATTTTTCTTTTAGGATCTTGACACTTAAACAAAATTGAATTTCAACAAAGAATAACAAACATGTTAGTAGCATATGAAATTCAATATATCCAATACTAAAATTCTTTATGCAATAACAATTGTTGAATTTAAGATCATATGCATAAAGTTTTCTAAAAATGTTATGCATTTGAAAATTATCAATTATTAGAGGGATATCATTTTTATTTAAACCACATGCATAAACATTTAAATTTAGGTCAATTTTTTTTAAAGATTTATAAAATCAAAGTATTTGAAAAGTTAATATCAATTGTTAGAGAGATATCATTTGCATTAAAACAAATTTTGACCAAAATTTTATTATGATGAACTAAAAATTCTGAAAAATCATTACAATTTTAAAATGTTCATCATAATCATCTTTTCAACATACATGAGAGTAAAACAATGATGCATAATCATTTAAAACCAAAACTCATGCATGTTTAAAATCAAATGAGCAACCAAATAATCCAAAATTAAAAGTATTAAGCTTAGAGGTTACCCATTCCTTTTTCATGTGTGGCTAGAGCATCTTGAATATCATCATTTTCATCACAATTGCTTCCACACACCTACAAGAGACATTTAAGTAGATTTTGGTATCCAAATTGCTTTGGATCCTTGAACATTAGTTACAATGCCCCTTGTTCCTTTTGGAACCCATACTTGCCTAATTTTAAAATGTTTTCCTTTCTTCAAAGGACAAGTATGTTCCATATGACCATGACAATGTCAATGTGAGCATTTTGCCATTTTTAAACATAATAGATTGTTTTTAGAAATTAATTCTTTTTCTTTTGTTAAGCTTTCAAGCTTAACTTCTAACTCAAAATTTTTCTTTTCTAAATAATTTATTTTGATTTTTGAAAGTTCTAAATCATTTTTCAAAATTTCATTTTGATTTTCAAAATCAACTCTAGCTTTCAAAATCGATTTATTTTCAATTTTGAGTTTTGAAACTAATTTCGTATATTTGGAATTCATGGTCTTAAATCCCAAATACAACCTATTATAAGCATCTTGTAACTTATCAAAAGTAAATGAATTAAATTCATTTGAGTTAGAAGATACCTCGAATTTTTCTTGAGTGGTCATGAGGCATAGGTTGACTACTTCATCTTCATCATTGGAATCATCTTCATCACTCCAAGATGCAACAAATGCCTTCTTCCCCTTTTTCTTTAGAAGATGACAATCATACATGACATGCCCCTTTCTTTGACAATCAAAACATACTGGGGGACTCTTCTTCTTGGTTGATTCATGTTTCACTTCCTTGGAAATCATGAATCTCTTGAGTTCCTTCAAGAGCTTGACCATCTCTTCTTTTTGTTCATCATCGTCTTCACCCACCTCATCACTTGAATCTTGATAGCTTTCATTGATGCCTACGTCCTCATTCTTCTTCTTCTTGTTTTTCTTCTCTTCCCTTTCTTCATCTTCCTTCACCATCATCTCATGAGTGAGAAGGGAACCAATTAGCTCGTCGAGAGTGAGAGACTTTAGGTTTCTTACTTCGATAATGGCCGTCTTCTTTGATTGCCACTCCTTTGGAAGAGAGTAAATCATCTTCCTCACAAGCTTCTCATTTGGGATTACTTCTCCATATCCATTGAGACCGTCGACAATCATAGAGAATCTATCCGTCATAGCTTTAATGTCTTCATCAGGTTTCATCTTGAAGTTCTCGTAGCTATGGTTGAGAAGACTTTTCTTTGATTCCCTCACTTCGTCGGTTCCTTCATGAGTGACTTGGAGCTTATCCCAAATCTCTTTGGCACTGGAACAAGATGAGATTCTTCCATATTCATTTGGGCCTAAAGCACAAAATAGAATATGTATAGCCTTAGAATTAAGTTGAAAATTTTTCTGCTC